GTTAATCCTCCAGCAACCTTCGAAAGTTGTTGTTGTGTGCTGCTGAGTTGATTCCAACTCATAGTGACACTACAGGACAGAACAGAACTGCCCCACAGGGTTTCCAAAGCCGTAATCTTTACAGAAGGAGCCCTGGTGGCGCAGCAGTTAAGCACTTGGCTGCTAACAGAAAAGCTGGCAGTCTGAACCCTCAGCTGCTCCTCAGGAGAAAGATGTGACAGTCTGCTTCTGTAAAGATTTCAGCCTTGGAAACCCTATGGGGGCAGTTCTACTCTGTCCTATAGGGTCGCTACGAGTCAGAATCAACTCGATCGCAATGGGTTTGGCTTTTGGAATCTTTATGGAAGCAGACTGCCATATCTTTCTTCCAAAGAGCAGCTTCTAGGTTAAAATTGCTGACCTTTCAGTTAGCAACTGAGCACTTTACCGCTGTGCCACCGGGGCTCCTCTAAGGTAGGGTGTATTATTATTCCCATCTCTCACATGAGAAATCTTAGGTAGAGAGAAGTTAAGGAGCTTGCCCCAGTTTACAGAGCCTATAGATCTAGGGGCGAGGATTCAAATACAAACGGTTTGGCTTTAGAGCCTATGTTTTTAACCACAGATAATACTGCTTCTCAGAACTCTATAAATACAAGAGTGGACTTCAACTACAGACAGAATCTTGTTAATGCTTTTTCTTCCTTGTGCCTAAATGCAGCTGATACATAATCTACCTGGTAGGAGAGAACAGTGACCGACATGTTAACAAACAAAAAAAAACCAAACCCGTTGCCGTCAAGTCAATTCCGACTCATAGCGACCCTAAAGGATAGAGCAGAACTGCCCCACAGGGTTTCCAAGGAATGCCTGTTGGATTCAAACTGCTGACCCTTTGGTTAGCAGCCAAACTCTTAACTACTACGCCACCAGGGTTTCTGACTGTAAAAGAACAAGCTACAGTTCATGAGACAAGGTTATAAAGTAGCAACTTAATTAAGATCAAGCTACAAAATGTTATTTTGTTTCTCAGACAAACAATTTACTGAAATAATCAAACTGTCCTAAGGTTTTAACATTATCATACTTTCTTACCAAAGCCCATGTGCCATGGAGTGAATTCCCACTTATTACAACCCCATAAGACAGAGCAGAACTGTCCAGTAGGCTTTCCCAGGCTGTGATCTTTACAGAAGCACACTGCCACATCTTTCTCCCGCACAGTGGCTGGTGGATTCAAACGCCAACCTTTTGGTTAGTAGCCAAGCGCTTTAACCACTGCACCACCAAGGCTACTCATACGTCCTTAGTTCTCAACAATTTAACTTCTGGATAATGTTCCCAAGGAATAAATATCATATGTTGGTTAACTCGATTTTCTCAGTCTTTGTAACTATGCATATGAAAATGCATATACACATACATACAAGCAAACACAAACCTCAGTTTAAACCACCATACTCTGAGCCTGAGTACCAAGATCTAAAATTAGATACAATCTATTCAGGATTATACAAATAGGTATGTGCTCAACACTGCCAACATAAATGGCCAGGGCAGGCTTTACCTCCTCCTATTGGGCTACTTCACACCTGACTGTCGGCCTGCAATTCTCTACATGCCATTCCTCCTTCCTCCACACCCACAGCACCAAAAACAAATGCTGACAGTAACAAGCTGTTACCCTTATTTCATCATCAGTCTATCACCGCCCCCCCCCCCCCATCCTGCAATAACTCTTCTCATAATCTTCGGAGGGCCTGAGAAACAGAAGCAGAACACACATTTGGAGTTTGTTCCCAGCTTCGTCTACTCCAGAAATGTTCATTGTAGAAACATTTGCCTCACTCTGCTCTGTACCCATACCCTGGGCTGACAAAAGGCAGTGATCAGGGTCTAC